TAGCGGTCTAGTTACCTAGACGCTATTGTCAGTTAAATCTTTCAATACTATATAATATGGAAAACGAATCATTTTATTATTACGCATTATTTATTACTTAGTATTAACTGTTATAATTGCATTAGCAGAAATACATATTACGAATATATGTATAATATAACATAATGTTAAAATACATATGTTACGTTTCAACCATTATTTCTGTCGATGTCTTCGACTACATGTACGTAAATTATGACCTTTTTCTCCACATCTCCCACAAGTAACTTGATCTTCTGGTGCTGTTTCCCCACGACTGCATAGCCGAGTTTTCCGTGGCCGTCCTGCTTGCTTGATTGTATCAGGTGGCAAAGTTTTTTTATCGGGAAAACATGTTTCTGCATCAACAGGTTGAACAGACTCTTTGTATACATTTTGAAGAGCTGTGGTGTGATAAGTAATATGAACAAACTGTGATGGCTGTAGACGTGCTTTAAGAATAGCAGCACAAGCATGTGTGCATGGAAATCGATACTCCTGAAATTGCTGACAGGAGCAAGTTAATGCATTAAGATTCACAACACGAAAATTGCTATTTTCGCTTCTAACTTCAAAAATTGATTCATTAGCTTGATATACTGCCTGGTTACGACATTTATTAATGGTAGACTAAAGTTGTTGAGTAATTGTTTGCGGTAGTATTGCTTGTACTGAAGAGTATTTCATACGCTGATTATAATAAAGTGTATTGACTTTGCGTACAAGTAAACTAATAGCTTCAAATGGTTCCACAAGACGTTCATTATATAACCAGGAATTAAAAGATTCAGATGTGTTAGAAGTAAGATGACCAAATCTATTACGTGGACATTTACTAAGAGTCCATGTTGCAGAATGTATTTCGCGAAGATAATTGGCAGCTTCTATATGCAGACTAGAGATTTCTTCCATAATATTGTCAAAATCTTCTGCATTCAATGCCTTTGCTGCAGCCCAAATTTTACCACCGAGCTTTGTTCTAAACTTTGTATTAACATTTTTTTCAATGTGCCATACACAATGTGCATGAAAAGCATTAGAAAGCTTTGCTTGTACGGCATCAGAAATACCCTATATACAAATAGTTATAAGCATTGTTTAATGTAATGGTTATAAAATAGTAAAGATCAAATCGAATTTACCTTTTCACGATCACTTATAATGACGGTCTCATTCGTATTTATTATTGGAAGTGCCGTATGGAGATTTTCACAAAACCACATCCAGTTATTAGAATTTTCAACTGAACAAACGGCAAATGCTATAGGAACGAGCTTGCCTTCACCATCAATTGCACTTAAACCAAAGTAAACGCCTTTATAACTTGACTTTGAATGACATGTGTCAAGAGTAAAAACTGGTCTACAATATTCAGCGGCCTTAATCCATGGCCATAAGCATAAAAATGCACGAATGAATTGATTTTCATTGTCAACTTCAAATGAAATAATGCTTTCAGGATTTTCTATAAGTAAATTATCAAGAAGTGGTTTTATACGCTGATAACTCTCATCAATTTCATTTGCTTTACGTTTTTTATTGGCAGCCCGACTTCTCCAGGCTGCCATGTATGATGTCTCAGCTCCAACTTCAGAACGAACACGATTAATAATGTCACTGGGTCGAAGTGCTGCTACATCTTCAACTAATGGCGCAGTAAACTTGACAAGAAATGACCCACGTGCTTTGAATGTTTCCATAAAGGTCGGACAAGTTTGATCATGTTGAATTAGCTTCACGATATAAATATAGCCATCCTTACGTCTATTTGCAGAAATGGTAAAAGAACATGCACTGGTTTTGTTGGAAGGACAAACAACAAGTAATTTGTTAGCTTTGTTGGTCTTGAACTTGTAGGGTGAAAAAGATTCGACAGAATAATCATCCAAAGCTGACCGGACGCTTTTCATATCGTTAAATCTCATACCAATCTGCAATTTTGTACTTGACATGATGAGTTATAAAATGATAACGATGGACAAGTAATTGGACGATTTAAAAACAAGCGGCAGATTTAATGGATCAAACGGCAAAAGATGAGTCCAATTTTTTTCTTGCATTTTTTTTTTATTTAATTATTAATTACGATCACTACATTTCTTATGCGCTTTATTAATGATGATATAATCGAGTCATTAATTTGAGCTTCACTGAGTTTCGGGTCCGTACACACTGCTG